CACTACTACTACTACTACTACTACTACTACTACTACTACTACTACGACGACGACGACGACGACGACGACAACGACGACGACAACCACCAAATGATTATAGCAATGATATAAATAATAAGAACAGTGTTGGTAATGATTCTGATAACGATGATGAAACCACTGAGCTGACGATGCTAATAACATTACCAATTAGGATCATTTTGTTGAGAAACTAACAAAAACAAAATGAAAAACCCGAGCAATACTAATGATAGTAATTATGATAATGGTACCACTACTAACGCCACTACAATACTGCTGTTGCTGCTACTACTACTACTACTACTACTACTACTACTACTAAAAACATTAAATAGACGTCAACAAGTAACAGGGTGGGAAAAAAAAATCCCAACCAACTACGGAATAAAATGACTTAAAATATCGGATGATCAAATCAGCGCGAACAGTCATCGTCTGGTCAGTCATTGACCCCTTCTGGTGAGCAGACGTAGTGCGTTGATGGTTCTTACAAAAACAGCAAGGCCAAGCACAAAAGAGCTTTTCATGATGGGTGGGGGTGGGGGATTTAGGGGTGGGGAGGACTGGAGCTCGCTCAAGGGTGAACAACTGGACTGACCTGTTAGTATAGAATGTGTAAATGAGCGCGCCATTCTGCCGTGTAACTGCGCAATACAGTTATTGAATTTCCTTATTGTTTAATTAAAATGGGTTTGGTATGGGATTTTTGTACGTTTCTAACTTTGCAAAAGAGCAACAGCTTACCACATGTACCTTTTCCGCCCTCAAATACTGCAAAGCGCAGAGAGGGGCATGGGCCAGGTGTGTGGCCTTTTTGGACCGCCATGCTGTTCCTTAAGAGGGGGAAAGCGAGGGGGGGGGGGGGATTAGGGGTCTCTTTGATTCCGTCTATCCACTCCATTTGTCTTATTCATTGGTAAAGTATTACGAAGAACCAGGATCTCCGATTTTGATGCGGGTTTTGAGTAGTGGTGGGCGGTTAGGTTCCCGATGATTGAAAGCTATTAATCGTACGAATCGACTCCGAACCAAATTACTTTCTAATAGTGTGAATTCACCCGGCAACTACTTGGTTGACTCTAAACAACTTCAGGATTTGGGATAACCTTGATTTCGGAAACATTGTGAAGCAACAGCTTCTTTTTCTTTCAAAAATAAATTCAAACTAATCCTCAGAAGATTTTAAAGAATAAAGAAACTGGTAACCGTTGGTTTACTTAAAAAGGTATCGGAACTTCTCTTCCGTAGCACGAATCGTAGTAATTTGTTTCGGAATAGATTCTTTGCCCACCTCTAGTTTTTTTTTTATAGTAGAGGGTTTTACGGCACTTGCAACTGCATAAGGTCATATGAGCGCCAAGCTCTAGTTTTGAAATGAACGTGGTACATGTACGGTAATGGTGGAGAGCCGCTTTCGTGGGTCATCGAGGTGAAATCAGGAGCTCGTCAAAAGAACGAAATCAAATTAACGTCGATCAGGGTAGCTTTCTTCATCGCACAGGAGCAACTGAGACACTCAGTGGTCACCACTTTGCAAGCGCATCGCTACTCTAGAATTACAAAGATCTATCAGCTCAGTTCCTAGTTTTGAGACATTTGACTTTAAAAAAACTTATTTTCACAACATGTTAAGCTTTTTCGAATGCAATTCTTTGAATATTTAGAGAACGACTCCGAATAATCTCATGATTTTGATAGAACAGAATCAGATAGTCTAGTATAATTGGTTTCTAGCATCGGTATTCTAGGAGTGTTTCTTTTGATTTTGCCCTCCCTAAAAGAAAACCCCAAAACAAAAACAAAAAAAAAAG